ACTCTTCTCCAGGCAAGAGAGTCCACTGCAGTAACTCCTCTTTTTCAAATGTTGTTCTTTTACAGCCAAGGTTGCCCCAGAAGCAGCCTTTATATCTCTAGAGCACTTCCCTTAATGAGGCACAACTCATTGCAGCTGGCCTGGTTCTGATCCCAGCCCTCGACCACACCTCCTTCCTCTACTGAGAAGGAACCAAAATAGCTCCGCCTGCAAATAGTGTATCATCACACTCTATGGTGTTGGTGAATATTCTAGAATAAGCATAGTCACTCCATCTACTTTTTTTGGAAGTAAGGTCCTGAGTTCTCCAAGACTTACACATTTGCAGTACATCCTGTAATGTCTATCCAAGAGTAAGTCATTGAGTTCCATGGGGCTTACTCTCATGTAATCAGCTATAGGAGTCTGCATGTGCAATGGAGACTCCTTTCTAGGTGCAATTGAGATTTCACCTAATGAAGTGTGCACAGGTATGGATGAAGTGAAAATGAACTTACAATTTTAGGGGTGGGAGAGAGTTATGTCATAGAAGGAAGGGCCCTTGCTTAGTGGTAGTGCACCTGCATGGCATGAAGAAGGTATCATGCTCAGTCCCTGGAATCTCCAGGTAGGGAAACACTCCTGTCTAAAACCCTGGAGAGCCATTGCCAGTAAATGTAGACATTACAAAATAAATTAGTTCACAGTTGTTGATGGTGGTTCTGGACAAAGGCAAAAGCCCTCTCCTGTTGCTAGCCACAGATTCAGCTTATTCTGGGCTGGATGGCCTCTAGATGGCCACATAGCAATCAACTGACATTTACATTTCCTTCTCCAAGTTGAGGTGCAGTCTATCAGTGAATATTCTGAAGGAGACAAACAACAGAAAAGCATTATTGACCCCAAACACTGTTTGTGGGCTTCATTGTGCATATGGTTGCCATAGTGAGGAGCAGGATGCTGGATAAATGGATCTTTGGCATGATCCAGCACAGCTGCTTTTATTTTCAAAGAAATCCCCACCCACCCCTTTTGCAGAAAATACTGCTCCTAACTTTGTTACTTGAGTTCATTTTTATTTTAAACTTTTGTTAACCTGTGAGCACAACTCTGTGATTCAAGACCCTTTAGCAAACCCCACTTTTCCAGAGCATGAAGAATTTAATCCTGCATATTGTACAACGGAGAGAGAAATGAAACAGTTTACCCCTCTGTCCAGCAAGCAGGAAAAGGTTTCCAGATTTGATCACAAGGTTCAATAATGAGATGAGACAGTTATAATATGAGTCTCTCTTTGAGGGAGAATTTCAAAATAAGTTATCAGGGAGGTGGGAGAAAAGAGAAATCACTGTTCTAATTTCAACTCTGCAGATGATCATAGTGCCTGGAGACAGGCAAGCCAGGTCCTGTATCCACAGAAGTGACCAGAGGAGGAATGACCACTGGGAAGAGCAGAGAGAATATATGCTCTCTGGGAAATACACAGGGAGTGTACCTGTAGCAGCAAAACCGGACGCCTTCATCTACCTCAGCTGCAATAACACATGTCTCTCCTGTATTGGTCTCTGCAGCCACAGAAGGCACTGTAAGTCTCCAATAGTTTGACTTTACCTCCAAAGGTTAACTCTTCTATTGTCTCCCAAGACAGACAGCTGAGTTTCGTTAACTACGTGTGAAATTTGAGGTCCCCTCCAGACAGTGCCAAAGTTTTGCAATCATTTTGCAGCCTTTGGCAGTGCAGCCACACATTTTGCAGCACCCCACAAATTGGGTAAATAATACTCAGTGAACTGGGGTTCATAGGTATTGCCCCCAAAACCCAAAATTGTACAATTCATTCCAAACTGGTACCAAAGTTTTGCAATAATTTGCAGCATGAATCCTGCATTTTGCAACGCCCCTCAAACTGAGAAATCGATACATCAAGCCAGGGGTTCATGCTGCAAATCAGTTGCAAAACCTTACCACTGGTTTGGAGTATCATTTGGCATTGGTTTGGAATCAGAAGATGTTGGGATTTTAGGTGATACTCCTGACTTGAGTATCAATTACTGAGTTTGAGGAGGGCACTGTATACTGCAGGCTTTGTGTTGCAAAAAGTTTTGCAAAACTTTGGCACTGGTTTGGAGAGGATCCCAAACTTTGGGGTTCATAGCTAATGAAGCGCCCCTGTGTTTCCATTCTCCCTTCCACTTCATCTGCTGTCATTATCTCTCTCTCACACACACCCCACCCCCAAATTTGTCATCCCTACAACTGTCAGCCTCAGTAAACACCCTCCATCTACTCTGGCTCCAACATTCTTCTGCTCACTTTTCTCTTCCACCCTGATGCTCAGGATACCCCTAGAGGCATCTTCATCCTGATGTATCAAAGATTGCTTTCTCCATTGTTTGCAGTGTGGGAATAATAATTGGGGCTTTAATGGGGATCAGTAGAGATTTTTGCAGTCCCCCCTCCCCCATTCCAGCGATCCTGATGCACCTAAAATGGTAGAGGCAATGTCTGCAAACTGCAGTTCAAGAGCTTGGGCATAGCTGGGAGGGGGTGCAGAGGGCATCTGCCCCCCCCCATCAAGTAAATAAATAAAATTACATAACTGACAGACTGTATCACAGATAACTCAGTTCTGCCCATGCATCATAAAGCCTTCCCCCCACACCCTTAAAATGGATCCTGACTCAGCCCCTGGGCTACATTCCTGATTTGGCTACTCTGCAATGGTTCCTTGCAATGGTCTCAGCAGAGAACATTACCCACACCTAACATTCTGGTCTAAGGTTCTCATTCTCATCTTTCCCCACATCTTTTTCTAGATTTAAATGCCTGCAAAACCTACTGTCTCACAGGACTGCAAAGGCAACCCCTTTAGGGGCCTCTTCCAAAAGAATGTGGAAGCTCCCTTGCTTCAGGTGGTGGAAGAACAAAGTCATCCCTGCCAGTGAAGCCAGACCAGGTGAGGCTGCTGATGAGGGGGTTACGGTGAGGGCCTGGAGTCTGAGATGATGGCAGCTGGTGCTCAGGCTTCCCCCCTAAGAAGAGTCCTGCTGGATAAGGCTAAAGGCTTGTCTATGATCCCCAACAGCTGGTACTATTGAGAGGCATACTGCCTCTTCTCCTATTGGGTAAGATTGAGCCATTGATGCCCTTATCTTGCACGAATTTCTCCAATCCTCTCCTACAGTTGTCCAATATGGCAGCCGTCCCCTTAGCTAGTGGCAGGGAGTTCCATCCTTCGGTGATGCAACAGTGTGTGCAGAAGTCCTTCCTCTTGTCAAGGGCATTGAAGGTGAAAATCTTGGCGAAAAATGGAGATGCCCATGGTTCTATGCAGAATAGATCCACTGAAGTTAATGAACAGGACTAACTTGTTTCAGTGAATCTACTCTGCTGAGCGCTAGGTTTAATGCAACCTCTGGTGTTTGGGAGGTACCACTTTGGCAGCACAATTTATATGAGGTGGCAGGAATAGATTGATAACATTCAGAATGATCCCATGGCCTTTGCAAGGGTGTAAGTTACTGGTGTGAATTGGGATTTGCATTGGCACAAGGACCATTGGATTGTCCTACTAGTTACTGTATAGTAGAGAACTACTAACTGCTATGGAGAGATCGACGCTAATACAAGGATGTAAGCAAGGACCAAAGCACACTTTGTTTACAGTTGGGAGTCGTTGTTGTTTTTCGGTGTGGAGTGTCTGACAGGGAACCTGTGCAGTAGGAAATTTGCTTTAAAAACAAGAACTGTACATTGAAGTTACATTGTGGACATGAGCTTGGCTTTGATTAACTTCTGTTTTGTCCATTTTTGTGTTTAGGAAAAAATGTTATATTCTTGTCCCCAAATATTATGCTATATAATAATAATAATAATAATAATAATAATAATAATAATAATCTATTATTTATACCCCACCCATCTGGCTGGGTTTCCCCAGCCACTCTGGGCACCTTCCAACTGAATATTAAAAACAATACAGCATTAGACATTAAAAGCTAATGTGAGTTTCTAGTGCAGGGTGTTTTTTCTAACCTTTCAGTGGCCCTCCCTGCCCCCCCCACCAGCCTCTCAACATTAAACTTCACAGTGGGGACTACAAGCATGTTGGTGTACACATAAATGTATGTACACCAGCATGTTGTAGCTTGCATATTTGCTCAAAGTGCCTTAGAATGCAATCCTATTCAAAAGCAAGATCTATTTAACACAATGGGTCTTACTCCCAGGTAGGTGGCGATAGGATTGCAGCCGTAGTGCTTTGACCCTTCAAGCCACTCCATGAATAATTGGAGATAGAAATCACAGAGAAGCAAGTTTAGGAGAAATGCCCTAGCAATAAGAGCACTTTGTCACATACCTCATTGCAGGTACAGTATTTAAGAAGAGTCCACCATCAGGGATGCTGTAGAACCTGCAAACCTGCACTGTAGAACCTTAATTCAATAACGGGTGCAACTAGATGGCCACAAGCTGCTAAGGCGCCTTTCAAATGATGATGCCAAATATAGTCAGACTAGGCTCCTTCACGGAGAATACGCAGGTGGAGCAGCTGGTTGCTGCTTTACTTTCCATTGCACACAATAGATATTGAATCCTGGTAGGGAAGGCAAGGGGGGCAGCAGTAATCAAGCACACACACTTATCCTGTCCAGTACGTCACAGCACACCAGCCTGCAGTCTTTGCCTCGGAAGCACGGGCAAACCTCCCAGATATAAGGATGGTTTAGCCTACTCCATGCATTTCCAGCCCACATGCAATTGAGGAATAGCGTCACCAAATGGTCATCAAAGTAGGAGAGATACAGGAGACAGCTACAACTTTAGGCTGTAAACATACCACCTGCAGTAAAATCTCAACCATAAACCACGCCACAGAAGCCATTATACACATTTTTATTCATGAGCCTGTTACAAAACAGAAGCATCTGATACAAATATATTTGATACTAGAAACAAGTGCAGTTGGTACAATTAAACAAGTGATAGTTCTCATTACAGCTCAAAAGTTTAACCTCCCATAGTAACTATGCAGATTTCCATATCTAGACTGGCATTTTCCCACCCTGAATGCTGCATTGACTGGTATGCAACAGTGAGGTTGTGAACATCTCCACACTGTTCCTAATCACAACAAACCTAAATACTGTTTGAGAGAACTAACATGGTTGGTGAAGAACACACTCTTAAAGATCATTTTGGGGGTTTATCCATTTTCTGCATCGCAAAAGCAACTTGAAGGTGACCTGCCACTGTACCCAGTAAACCATGTTGGAAACAGAGTTGTCCCTCTCCATACATCAGCGGTCAACATCAGAATCAGAATCGGATTCCAGGTATGATGCTGAAACATTCCCAGCAGCATCTCTTTGCAAGATAAGCCACATGACAGGCCCATTCTCTCCATTTACAGGACGTCGTACACGATACTGTACATAAGCTAGGTGGGGATTTTGTGAGGGTGGATTCCCAAAAAACACAGAGGCGCCAACATTAGATGGTGATTGACTTTCTTCATAAGAGGGAGGGGGGCCATCAACATAGGGAGGAGGGGGGCCTTCAAAATAGGGGGGAGGAGGGCCTGCAATATAAGGGGGAGGAATGTCAATGAGATGGTGTGGTGGAGGAGAGTCCAGCTGAATCTGCTCCTGGGGTTCATCGAATGTGTCCTCATCCTGGAGGTCTCTTCTGCGACGGTAGTATCTTATCCTGAAATGGCAGAAGGTGTTCCAAGCTAATGTGACAGCAGCCAGCATAGTGAAAAACGGGAAGGAACCTGGAAAACAGAAAAGTCATAGAATCAGAGTCGAAAGGACCCCAAGGGTCATCTAGTCCAACCCCTCCAATGCAGAAATCTCAGCTAAAGCATCCATGACAGAAGAAAAGGCTAGTCAACCATTGTTGCAGAAATCCCATTTCCCCCAGCTAGTCATTTTAGCTTATTGTGGATCTTAATTATTTTTGGATTCTTTTAAATAGCTGGTTTTACTGATGATTTTATTTTTTTTTACTCGTTTATGTAAGATGCGCTCCTAAATTTGCAAAGCGCAGGGAATCTCCATCAGGCAGGAGGAAATATGGGACAGCAGGGGCTCCGAGTGTATAAGACTGAATTAAAGAAGGCGAGAGCGAGGGGTTCACAATCCACATTAAGACGAGGTATAGACGGGCCCTTAGTGGATTATCTTTAAGAGAAAAGCTAAGTTGTTCGGCGTGCAGAGTTTTCCCAATGAGCAGACCGGGAGCGAAGAGCATTGTCTCGGCGCCCCGTGCCCCCCCTTCCCTATTCCACTACACCACTAACCCAAGGGGAAGGAGAGCGAGAGAAGAGAAGGCTAGAGCCTTGTTCTGAAGGGAAAAGCCAGGAGGCTGCAGAGGGTGTGGAATATAGCTATTCAATAGGACAGACTTATTTCCTACCTCCCCCCCCCCAAAAAAAAAGCCGCCCTCAAGTTGGTGGGCGAAGTAGGCTTACCTCGCCGTGCGGGACTTTCAAACGGAAGTTTTGTTATCCGTACACCAGCGGCAGGCTTCTGTTGCTGTTTCTTTAAGCCGGTCTTTCCCAACTCGTAACAGCGAGGCAAGATGTCATTCCCGCCGCGCTCCTTGGAGTCAACGGCTCCGAACCCGTATCTCCAGGCTGGGCACATTTCGACCTCGGGGCACAATTGGACTTCTATGGCCAAAAAAAGTAGGATCCAAGACACAGCCTTCGCCATGGTGCACACGGACTCGAGGGGTCCCTTCAGCGCGCGACACCACCTTTCCAAAGTCGCTGCTCCTCTCCACGAACAAATTGCTTCCACTCTCTCCGTCTAACAATCCTGATTAACTAAACAGCCTCTTCGCCTCTTCCCTACATCAAACTGTCCTTGACGGGGCCTTAGTCGCTCTGCGTTTTAAAGAAACATGCACGAGCATCCCAGGGTCACATGAAAACCAAAGGAAACAAGGCAGAATTTCCTGGAAACTGCCTGTGAGAGTTCCACCAACTTTTTGCGCTCTCATGAGTATGCATTTTGTTTTCTCATTTTGGGGGCAGGGGACGGCGTGGAAGAACTGGGGGGCATAGACAGCACAAGTTATAGTCTTCTCGCTTTGTTTTATAATGACAGTACTTCTAAAAAGAAATCCTGGGTAGGTGAGAAGTATATGTGTTTCAAGCACAGACACAAATTTAAGTAGCTATAGACGTGTTTTCACCCTTAACATCGTTCTTTAGACTCCTTCGCAGCTAAGAAAGCTAGGAGCTCCTTGAGCCCAGGGCTTGCTCACCGCCCCCCCCTCGCCCACTTGATGGCTCTGGGCCAGACGGGGTGGGATGGGGGCCTGCAGGTGCAATTAATATCATCGGCACGATAACAGTGCGTTAATTATTCTGTGATCCTATACCTGCGTTGCTACATTGTTGCTATCTGCAAGAGTGCTCTTGTACCGTAGCGCAATGAAAGTGGGGTCGGGGGGGGGAGGAAAAAAAAGACCCAGACCCAAAAAGCGAATCACAGATTTAAGTCGGTATAGGAGTAACCAGAACGTGTGGTAATGCAAAAGGTAACAGGATTTCAGCAATAATTTTCTGGACATGCGTCGGTTGAAAATGAGGCAGCATGTCCACCCCAAAGCTTCTGCAGGCGTAAACAGTACTGAAAGAGGGGCTGCTCCTACCTGCCCCACACACTTTCGTGAACGCACAATAAAAATTATGTCCAGAGCGGTCCTCCATATAAGCAAGCAAGCAAGCAAGCAAATAACGCTGTATCCCGTTCTCATATTTCGCAGCTAAGACAAGGAATAAAGATAAATGTGCGGGGTGGGGTGGGGATTAACCCTCTTTTCCTACCTAGACTCCAAACACTTCCCAATAATGAATGTGTGCAGCATTTTCTTCTTCTTCATAGAATCATAGAATTGTAAAGTTGGAAGGGGCCATAAGGGTCATCTAGTTCAACCCCTGCAATGTAGCAGTCTTTTGCCCAATGTGGGGCTCGAACCCACGACTCTGAGGTGAAGCATCTCATGCTCTCTGTTTAACTATAACAAGGATAACTTAACAACAACAACAACAAAAAAGTGGCACTGAGCACTGAAGCACAAATTTGGCTCTCAATTTCCCGGCTGCCAATGCAAATAGAGAAATACGCAATGTGGCATGATTTTCCATATCGAACTGCAAAAAGCGCACAATCTCACTTGATTTAACAAAATTCCTCCCGAAGTTACATTCAAACGGACTTCTTAGAAGTGTTCTGATTTTTTTACTTTTTTACTTTTAGCGCTAAGAAAAGCCTCTTTGCTGCAACACACACGGTAAAACAGGGTTTCCCAAAGTTGGGGCTTCAGCTGTTTTTGGACTACAACTCCCATCATCCCTAGGTAGCAGGACCAGTGGCCGGGGATGATGGGAGTTGTAGTCCAAAAACAGCTGGCGACCCAAGTTTGGAAAACTTTACCTTAAAGGTTGGCATCAAAAATAGTAGGTTGATTTCTGTATTTCCCTTTTTAATATCTGGGTTTTGATGCATTGAGAAAACTCTGTGAAGGATTACTTTGGTCTGAGATTAACTAATCTAAATTTTCCTCTAATTCTCCTTAACACATCTCAATCTGACACAAACTAACCTCTGAATCCAAGAAAGGAAATTGTACAAAATCTTACTTCTAATATGGTTTTTCTTTTTTTTTACTCAGCATCTGGTAGTTTGAGCGTTTTGGACAGGAATAAAACAGGGCAGCATTGAAAAAAACTTTGATTAAAGTTTAGCTGGACCCTGATTCTGAAAAGTGGCATTAAAAGTGTATTCCTGCATATGTCTACTCAGAAGTAAATCTCATTAAATAATCTCATGATGAAAGTGACTAATAAATTTAATTATTTATTTATTAAATCAGCAAGAAAATACTATCTTAGAAGCAATGGGAGAGAAGGACAGGTTCTCACTGCCTAATGTAATCAGAGAGACTGGTTTCCTACTTCACACCTATGCAATGTGATGCACATGTGCAAGATAATGTGATGTGATCAGCTCCACACAGATCCTATCCTATGAAGAGCACTTTGTGCTACATGAACCTGCATAAATATTATGGTAAGGATGTCATATGTCCAGTTAAAAATCGCTGGAATATCCAGGAAAACCTGGACATGGCAGCCCATGTTGGTAGTGTAGATTTCGGGCTCAACAATTTGAACGGTAGGGAGCTCAACAACTGGGGGGGTGGGCGGGAGAAAGCTCAACAACCTTTGTGTCCAGATTTTCAGTTTTTGAAATATGGCAACCCAAATTATGGTCATTGATGAAGGCTTCTCTCCACATCCAAGGGCCAGTCCCACCATGCCAGCGGGTTGAAGCAACCAGGTCGTTATTACTGCCTGACTTCCCTTGAAATGTGAAACCACACTCCCATGTTGGGTAGCTCAGTTGATTAGAACATGGTGCTGATAATGCCAAGGTTGCAGGTTCAATCCCCGTATGGGACAGCTGCATATTCCTGCATTGCAGGGGGTTGGACTAGATTATTCTCAGGGTCCCTTCTAACTCTACAAGTCTATGATTCTATGTGTTCTAGAACAACCTCCCACAACCTGGGGGGGGGGGGCTCGATGTTTTGAGCAACTGGGAATCTGCTGTATCAGTGATTCCACATGCAGGGTACTCTGACACATTCCCAGTGTTGGTTTGCCAAAGCAAGTTATGCTCTCCTTTTTGCTTTCGCTATGTTTGGGCTCAGTGGTAGAGCATCTGCTTTGAATGCAGAAGGTCCCTGGTTCAGTCCCCAACATCTCCAGATAGGGCAAGGAGAGACTCGCTGTCTGAAACCCAAGACAGACTCTGCCAGTCAGCGTAGACAATACTGATCTAGATGACCCAGTAGTTGGACTAGGTAAAAGGCAGCTACCCATCTTCTTATAATGGCTGCTGCTGCTTTTCTGTTTCTCTAATCATGTCAATGTTTTCACGACCCTTATCAAAAACAGCAAAAATGCGTACAATCAAGTCCAGCTGGGGATCTGGGAAGAGAGAACAGGAGTTCAGAGAGGGGAGTAAGTTCTGTGACCTTGCTGCTCAACTCAATCTTTTTACATGGTTTGTGGTATTTTGAGTGTTGTAATTTTGCTGTTCTTTTTATTGATAATAATTTAGTGCAATTGTTTAGAGTGAATTTCTGTACAATTATTATTTGCTGATATTCTGAGAGTTAATTTTATTGTGTACTTTTATAGTCTAATGAATTATTTAATATGGCTTTAAGTTGTTTGAGCCATATTTTTTATTTTGACTTATTTGCATTGGATCGTATTGTTTTAAAAAATTGTCTTTGTTTTATATTTTGTTGTTTCTTCAGCTTATAAAGCACCTTCTGTATAGGAATATAAAAGGGCAATATATAAATCAAAAGTGATGGTGATGATGATCTAGCTGTGAAAAGAGGGTTGGTCCTCTTGTGGATGAGTAACGATGAAGAACTAGGAAGCTGAAAGGAGGAGGAAATGGAGGGATGTGGAAAGCTATCAATGACTAGTAGCTGTTATGGCTGTGTTCGACTTCAGGTCTGAGGCATTGTGTCTCTGAATTCCAGTGGTGAGAATGCTGTTGTGCTTGGGGCATGCTTGTGGGCTTTCCATGGCAACCAATTGACCACTGTGAAGACAAGATGCTGGCTGAGATGGGCCTTTGGCCTGGTCCAGCAGAGCTCCTTTTTTTAAAGCAAGGGTGTATGTGTTGGTCCCCTTCATGGATCACTGCCTTGCCGTGGCGAAGGGGCTTGAAGAACTCAGAGAAGCTACGAACTACGCCGAGCAAGGCACACAAGATGAACAGGTCATAGTGGAGAGTTTCGACCAAACGTGATCCACCTGGAGGAGGAACCGGCAAGCCACTCCAGTATCCTTGCCAAGAAAACTCCATGGACAAAGACAACAGGCATATAAAAGTTATGACGCTGGAAGATGAGCCCCTCAGGTCGAAAGGCGTCCAACATGCTACGGGGGAAGAGCAGAGGGCAAGTACAAGTAGATCCAGAGATGATGAAGCGGCTGGGCCAAAGCCGAAAGGACGCTCAGTTGCGGATATGCCTGGAAGCGAAAGGAAAGTCCGATGCTGTAAAGAAAAATATTGCATAGGAACCTGGAATGTAAGAACCACGAACCTGGATAAGTTGGAGGTGGTCAAAAATGAGATGGCAAGAATAAATATTGACATCCTGGGCATCAGTGAACTAAAATGGATGGGAACGGGCGAATTCAGTTCGGATGACCATCACATCTACTACTGTGGGCAAGAAACCCGTAAAAGAAATGGAGTGGCCCTCATAGTCAACAAAAGAGTGGCAAAAGCTGTACTGGGATGCAATCTCAAAAATGATAGAATGATCTCGATACGAATCCAAGGCAGACCTTTTAACATCACAGTAATCCAAGTTTATGCACCAACTACTGGTGCTGAAGAAACTGAAATTAACCCATTCTATGAAGACTTACAACACCTTATAGAAGTGACACCAAAGAAGGATGTTCTTCTCATTATAGGGGATTGGAATGCTAATGTAGGGAGGCAAGAGATAAAAGGAACAACTGGCAAGTTTGGCCTTGGAGATCAAAACGAAGCAGGGCAAAGGCTAATAGAGTTCTGTCAAGAGAACAAGCTGGTCATCACAAACACGCTTTTCCAACAACACAAGAGACGACTCTACACATGGACATAACCAGATGGGCAGCATCGAAATCAGATTGATTATATTCTCTGCAGCCAAAGATGGAGAAGCTCTATACAGTCAGCAAAAACAAGACCTGGAGCTGACTGTGGCTCAGATCATCAGCTTCTTATAGCAAAATTCAAGCTTAAACTGAAGAAAGTAGGAAAAAC